CGTGGGCGGCGTATATGGTACAAGCAGAGCGTGTGCGAGGGCAGCGGAGCCGTCGGCTGCCGTGCGACGCTCGCGGGGAGATGACGCACCTGACAGAATGCGTAATCGGGGGACTGCTGGAGCCATGGTGGGAGCGCCTTAGGGTGGGCCGCGAGGTGACAGGCGACAGCGGCGGCGTGGTGAGGGTGAGGAGAGCCAAAAAGTTGGCGTTGGGAGCGCGCTTCGATGTAGCGCAATTGGCGGGCAACAACGGACAGCGGCAGGTGAATTATCGATTAAGATAGTAGCGGAAACGAGTGTGCGGCGGCCTGGGAGATGAATCACTGGGGCGACTCGTAGCAGAACATTAAGAGAGAGGCGCGGGTGAGGAGGCAGGACGGGACAAGACCAGACGGACTGGGTCGTGACGGGCGCAGACGGCGGAGGGTCAGGAAGCTACCACGACTGCTGGCGCCGGGTCAGCGTGAGAAGGAGCGCACGGCGGGACGCGGGTTCCACGGCAGAGTCTCTACAAAGCGAGCGGACGCAGGCAGCAAAGATGCAGTGCAGGGCAGAGGACAGAGGATGGGTGAGGATGCTGGGTGTCGAGGCAGCGGTAGCGGTAGCGGTAGCAGACAAGCAAGCAAGTGCAAGCAAGGTTGATGCGCTGCCACGCAGACTGGCTTGATATCCCGCTGACTGCCTGCTGGTGCCCACTAGAATGCTTTGGGCACAGGCCCTGCACTTATCGCTGTCGACGCCAAATCCATCGCTGATTTATTATGGGCGGGGCCGTGCCCGTCGTCATTGTTTTTTTGCTTCATAAAAAGGCATATGCGCGGCGTGGCGTGCACATTGCGCTGACGGTGCTCATGATTGCGACAGCGCGAACGCAGATCACGGATAGGCTGCCATTGCCTCTGCGACGCGCTGCAAACTGAGCGTTTTGTCAAGCGTCTTGCTGAGAAGACGTGGAAACACGCTGGAAACAAATCCACCTCGCAAGCCCTGGCTGCTGGATGCGTGCGCGGCATCATCCCGGCGAGCCATGGAGATCCGCTTCGCCCACATGCACTCGACGATCTGAAGCCCTCGCCTATCACGAAAACCTGCTGCACCTCGCGCTTGGTGTCGAGCGCGCCGGCCATGGCTAGCTTTATGTCGCCCTTCCTACACGGCGCTGGCACGCTGCCTCAACCACCTGCGCGCGTCTGGTTCACAACTCACCACCGTCAGCGCCAGCCCGCAACCGTGCTAGGCCCAATCAAACTCGCGTGCTAGTCGTCACTGCAGCTCCGCGCGTCTGACGTCGACGTTCGCTACGTCTGGGCCAAGACCAGACCGTCCCAACGCCTATTCCACCGTCGAACTGGGGGCCGTGCGACCGCTGTCAAGTCCCATCCTTGGTCCATCTCTCAACGGGCAGCCTGAAAATCCTCTAAAAGGGGCTGCCACTGTCCGAGATACAGCCCCGCCCAGATAGGGCTATGGCTAATTTCCACCTGGGCCGTTTGCACTGCTCGGAGCTTCATTACGCCCGCTGCTGCTCCGTCGAGTTTAGTCCTCGCGCAGCCTTACTCAGTAGAATAACCAGTGGGCCTAGCTGTACCTTGGACTCGGTCTTTTCACCACCACCTCGCCGCGAGCGGCAGTGCCGCCCGGAGCCACTACCGTACCATTTCCTGCGACTAAACCCACCGACTGGAAATGCACGGCTCGACTTGCTTCCCGCACCCGAGCCGCGTGCGAGCTTACAAAATCAGACCAGAACTGGAGCGCCCAACACAGCCCGGGTACATGTGCCAGCAGCCAACACGACAGCAGCAATACACAGCGCTCGCCGTGTCTGAGGTTGAGCAACCCATCAATCTGCACTCCAATAATTAGCTGTCGCTCTTGCCACATTCTAATACGCCACCAGCTGCGTCGACCACTGCCAGCAGCCTGTGATATCGCCGCATGCAGCAGATCCGCGACTTGCTCCTGGATAGGACATCTCGCCAAGACATGCGCGAATCACTGTCCATGATCACTGCTTCCTTCGCCTACTCCGTGTACTCCTACCCGCACAACTGAGCTTCAACAGCTTCACATAATCAAACTGTGCGAGTTTATCTGGAACCGAAGCCATCGCTCTCGCGCTGTCGACTCCCGACCCACTGCGATCGAGATCTCGCTTCAGACGCGACCGCTCCTTCCTCGCCCATCTCATCTCTGCCTTGGCCGCAGGCGACTCTAACACAGCTAGTTGCACTCGCTCGGTGGTCGCTCCTTCTACTTCCGTTACGTAGCACATCAACGCTAGCCTTCACTTACTTAGCCCATTCTTTGGACTCGCCCACGGTCTCCTTTTACACCGTGGTACGTCTTACATACAGAAGTTGCCGCGCGATGCCGGTGACTCTGACAGCGGGCGCCAGAAGGCGGGAATTACAACCACTCCATTTCGTCCGTCAACGTTGAAAAGCTTAACGCCTTAACCTAGCTAAGCAATCGCGCCTTTGATGTTCCCTACGCCCGGGGCAGGGGATCCCGTATTCGTATCCTCCCGCCGCGTTGGAAGCAGTCGAACTACTAGCAGACGACGGACGTGGAAAACGCGTCCAGCTAGGATGCACGCGTTCCGGCCAACGGTCGCTCAGCATGTTCCATAACACGCGTCGTATACACGGGGAGCGGGACAGCCTAGATGTTTCAACCGCTAACACAGCAATCATACGCGCTAACACTACAGTTGAGACGCCACATGAATGCGATCGAATATGTATGGGAAATGACGATTGCGATTTGCAAGCCTGCCTATAATGTAAAACCCTATCATATGCGGTGAGGCAACCGCTTTCAGAACGTCATCTCAAAATAGATCCCTTCCCCTCTGCCCATCACTTTACACGCTCCCTGAAGCTCATCTGCAAAGGGGCGACACGGCTCGCCGCATTATCAGCAAATCGATTTGACAGACGTCTCGCGATAGTCACTGCATTATTGAAACACGACTCTGCATCTCGTTACCTCTTATCGAATCACAAACTATGTGGCTTTAGCCTTCTGACATTTCGCTACCCATGTCTCATTTCAACCTCACTAACCGCTTCCGAGATCCTCGCTCGTGCTCCTGAGCGCCGCCCCGCCACGCGAGTCACTCTGCTCTTGTTCCTGACATGTGGCGCCACTGCGGCCCGGCAATGTGCGCGGCTGCCGAACAAGGGACTGGGTCGCCGCTGTCGATCTTCACATCACGAATTTCCGCAATAGAAATATCGAAATAGCAACGCGGTGATCATCGCCTTGTGTTGAGCCCGACCTTATGGATGGTGGTCGCGATACGCGGTAGGCCCCTCCAAACCTTTGTCTCCCGCACACACCGCTTACCAACTTTGCCAACTTCTGTCTGTCGGCTAAAGAGAGACCAATAGTCCCTGATGTTGACAAAATACCGATGATCTTCAACTCACCAATCGTCTCGTTTAGGGGCACCCGCGGCTCTGATCGCTTGCTCGGAACCTGTCGCAGCCGTGCTCTATGCTCCGCAACCATATTTTGACGTCTATCAAATCTTATTGATATGATATGCAAGTACGGACACGCCGTTGATGCTCGAACGGGAGTTGCAGAAGCGAGATGAGCTTTGGTAGCAGCCCTTGCCCGTGAGAGCGTTCAGCATATGGAACCCGCAGGCATCCCGCCAACTTTTCTCCGCTGACCTGCCGCACCAACAACTGTGCTCATATCGGATATGAGTAATCTATGCGATACCCATAGTATAGCCAGACGTAGTATACACCAAGTGGAGAGCGAATCTTATGTCATGTTCTGGTAATGTATCGGCTCGTAGATCGGTACATGTTCCCCGTGAACATATAGACTGGGGGCTTGCTTATAGCTGATATGCGGCTCGGGGCCCGCGATCTAGAGAAGAGAAGCTGTTTCCTGATCTACATTCGTAAAGCACAGTCTCTGTTGCAGCGACTCTATCATCCTCGCTACAAGATTGGCCGACTATCCTACAAGTTCTTCAAGAGGATTACATGAGTCTAGTAGGCACAACACGTAATACCGAAGCCTTCAAGTTCATGGTAGGATCATGTCGTTTCCGAAACCAAGCCATTGCTAGAATCTGTAGTCGCGTTTGCTGTATGGTGTTCTGGCTGGTCGGTTCCAAATGGAACATTGACACGCAACTCCGTAGCTTTTCGACACTGCTCAGAGGAGGCTGAACGTCTGTCGCATAGTGAAACCGCTTATAAATCCCCCGCCAAACCGCGAGAGCATACAAGTGTGTATTCAGCAGCCTTCCCCTACACAAGCACATCTCAGCCCTCGGTAACACCATGAAAGCAACCTTCATGTACACCAGACTCCTGTCCCACGCGTTCGGTAACCCATCCACAACCATTCTGTACTTTTCTCTACCAAAATGCACATATACCCTTCTCAGACGACAGATCTACAGACCCTGAAGCGACGATGGTCGCTTACTGCGGCAGTGGCCGTGGTTGAGGAAGAAGCAAGACAGGAAAAGCCCTCTTCTAGCCTCCACGCTCGAGCACCAATGAGCCTATAATTAGGAATACGCTGAGAGAGACAGAGCTTCGGACTCCGATGACCTTTCCATTCTTCTTTAGCACGCGGCACTCTTCGGAAGCAGGGTGTGTTGGGCCTGCTTTTGCGATTGCCCTAGCCGAGAAGATGTCGTGCTCAGCCAAAGCAATGCGGGTAGGAGAAAAAGGAACGAGATACAGTGCCATGTTCGTGCTTCATGTCTAGAGCGTCGGAACGTTGAGATCACATTTGCGCAAAAGAAGTCATTGTGGACAGAAGATTCGCATATCAATTTCTTTGGTTCCTCTCATAGCGAGATAATAACTCTTGAAGACTGGAATTCAGAACAGCCTTCACCAACTTAAGAACCACCTTGCGCCGTTGCTTACGTGTTCATTGCACCGAAGGTCAATCGTGACTTTTGTCCAAAAGAAAGAACCCTCTCCTGCACCTTTTCCGTCACTCCGTCCGGGCGGATTTTAGTTGTCCATGTAGGTGGACGAGTTGATACCATCCTCGGGGAACTCAGGAAGCTCGACCTGGAAGCGCTCCTCGATCGACTTGAGGACAGCCTCGTCGTCTGGGCTGCTCACAAACGAGATACTGAGACCCTTGGTTCCGAAACGACCGGCACGACCGACGCGGTGGAGGTAGGCATCGGCCTTGTCGGGCATGTCGTAGTTGATGGCCACGTTGATGCGCTCGACGTCGATACCACGACCGAAGATGTCGGTGGAGACACAGATACGGGTCTGGAACTCCTTGAACTCCTTGTAGCGCTTGATACTAGAAAAACGTTAGTTTCGAGCTAGCGAGTGGGGTACAGTTGAGTACATACCGCTCTTCTTGGCTGATGCCAGAGTGGACAGCAGTGCTGGGGAAGTTGCACTCGCGGAGAAGCTTGTCGAGCTCGGAGCAGCGCAGGGTGGAGCGAACGAAGATGATGACCTGGTTGAACTCCAAGCTGTCGAGAAGGTCGTTAAGCTTCCGGTTCTTCTCCTTCTCGTCAAGCTTCATGTAGTACTGCTGGAGACCGTGAAGCGTCAACTTCTTCTCGTCATCGACGTAGATCTCGAGCGGGTTCTGCATGAACTTCTTGCAGACAACGCGCACCTCCTTGTTGAGGGTGGCGGAGAACATCATCACCTGCTTGTGCTGGGGTGTAGCGCGGAAGATTGCTTGAACGTCGTTGCGCATGTCTGCAAAGTGTTAGCCGAAGTCAGTTGGGACGGACGATTTGTACTGACCGGGCTGGTCCAACATCTTGTCGCACTCATCGAGGACGAAGTGCTTCAGGTTGGCAAGGCGGAGATGCCTATCGCGGACGAGGGCGTTGATACGACCGGGAGTACCGACGATGATGTGAGGGTGGGTATCCTTGTTGCTAAGGAGCTCGATGTCCTTCTGAACGGGAGTTCCTCCGTAGAAGACACCAACTTTGACGTCAGGCAAGAACTTGGCGAAGCGGTTGTACTCGTTGCGGATCTGGTAGGCCAACTCGCGAGTGTGGCACATGACCAGGATAGTGGCGGTACCGGGCTCGGGCTTCTCGTCCATCTGCTGGAGGGTTGCGAGAACGAAGACGGCAGTCTTTCCGAGACCAGACTTGGCCTGGCAGAGGACATCGTTTCCTAGGATGGCCTGGGGAATGGTAACTTGCTGGACTGTAGGGCACACGTTATGTCAGAATGGTCTTTAAAACGGTCGAAACGAAGCGTGGGAAGCGAAGCGTCCGTCCATCTTGTGTAGCCGAGGTTTTCCATCTAGCGCGCGTGCCAGTCTGTCTATCCTCCCCATACGCTCAATGGTGTGCCTCCTCCTGTACACCCGCAACATGCACTCCTCCCCTGAAACCAGTCCTTCGGGACCACGGTAGTGAGCCAATAGGCACCACTGGCTTCTCGATGCATATACCGGTGCGCCTGCGAATGCAGTGCGCGTCGACGCTCGTAGGTAGCGGAAGGCACTCGGTCCCTCGCCACTTTGCTCGAATATAGACAGACCAGGCCGCATTACAGATAGTGCTCGTTTCGTAGATGGACAGACGCTTGTAGGTGGATAAGGCTGAGGGGAATTATTAGACTAACCCTCGGAAGGATGTTCGAAGCCACAGTCCGTGATTGCTCGTACGAGCTCGTCCTTGAGCAAGAAGTCGCGGAAACCGGTCGAGTGGATGCCGACGTAGCTGCCCTTCTTGTCGCCTGCAGCATCACCGGCGGTGACGCCGCCCTTGCTTGCAGCTGCGCTGCCGTTGGCGGGCGCATCAGTCGTCTGGATCTCCTCGTCGGAGTAGTCGATGAGATCTTCCTCGTGAGACATGATGGATTATGTGTCCGTGTAAGAGTGTGTGTGGTGTGTAGAGTCGGTGATTGCGCGTGTCGCAAGCAAGGCTGCCAAACAAAGTGGAGTCGCGACGGTACCGAGGCGAGGTATTATACTAAGAGCTACGAGTAGAAGAGATCAGCAGTTGTTTCGCGATTTCACGGTAACGCGAATTCGACGAGGTTGCTGTGGCTTGAGAGGTTCGTGGTGGGCGGTGGACAAGAGCGGTCGCCGCGCTGATGTCGAGGTAAAAAGCTCGGGGCGCCTTGCTGGGCGCGCGCTAGGCCGCAAGCGGACTGCTCTGAATCACGACCCACCACTGCAAATCCTCTGACCTTCTATCATCTATCTGTGAAACCGTAATTTACGTAGCAGGCCAGACGACAATACAGCGGCGCATCATGAGCAAGGTCAAAGCACCAAAGACGAAGGGCATTCCGAACAAGCATCTGCACGCCCGCTCGACTTTTCTCTACCAAGCAGCCACATATCTGACGCTGCAAACGGCTACGCAAGAGGACGTCGCAGCTGATATCGCGCGAGACAAAGAGGACGGCTCGATCGATACCCAGCGACATTCACCGCTCGCACTCGAACTCGGATCCGATCTTCAACAGGTGTCACGGAAAGGCCAGCTACGGCTGGCTGTCGACTTGAAGCGCTCCATGTGCAAAAGCTGTAATACAATCCTTGTTCCTGGACGGACTCTTACTCAAAATATTGAAAATCCCAGCAAAGGCGGTAAGAAGCCTTGGGCAGATGTACTCGTCGTTACTTGTCTCATTTGTGGCGGAAAGAAGCGGTTTCCAGTGGGCGCAACGAAACAACTCAAGAAGGCTAAGAGGATCACAACGCATACAAGTTCGTTGTCAAAAACTGCTTCGGAAGATGGCCAATGCTCAGAAACTACCTTTGCGACGGGTACTGACTGACTTGACGTCACGTTGTGGTTTATTCCACTCATTTGCTACATGCCACGCCGGAATCGCTCAATTGAGGAACCCACGAAGGCCTCCAGAACTCCCGAATCGATTCACCAGGAAAAGATTGAGAGCTGCTATGACTCAGACCGCGGGGATCACAGTGAAATACACAGGAGCATTTGCCGCCTCTGAAATATGGTCGTTCAACGCACGTCCAGTTACGCCACGAGGGGATCTAAAGTTTCGCATGGACAATTTCTCCAGTCAAAAAGCCGAGCGAAAACATCGCATGAGAACAACTTGATCTTCACCAACCGTTCTCCTCAACGTAAACGGTCATGGATAGTCAAGCTCTCAAGGAAAGCATCTCGCCTCTCCAGTCTCTGCCACAAGAGATCCTGTCAAGCGTCTGCAGTTACCTACCGCAAGGGGCTCTCTACCAACTAACCCTGGTCAACAAAAATATCGGTCAGCGCGTAGTACCAGCCCTGTACAGTTCCTTCAGCCAAAATGGAGGCGACAGCATGCAAGTTCGACAGTACTTCAGAACCGCGGTGAGGGAGCCTGAGTTAGCTGAGCATCTTCGCGAGGTTACTATTCAGGGTTCTATCAATTTAACCCACAAGCAAGTGCGGAAATGCCTCCGGAAATTGGACAAAGAGAGCTGGGCTCATCGGCTTCACGAAAATCATCCTCACCTCGCTTACGATTATTTTTCGTATGGACCGGACCTGGCCATTGCTCTGTTACTGAGCTTGGAACCCAAGATACACTCTATTCGTGCTCTGCATCCTCCGAACCCCATAAAGAAAGGGAACTCATTTAAACTCCCTATCTATCTCGAACCCATTCGAGGCATTCTAGCAGCAGGCTCTCCACTGCCGCAATGGACCAATGATTTATCCACGTTAGAGATCACCCTTCGGACCACATCATGGCAGTGTATTGCCCCGCTGTTCCAGCTACCGGTACTCAAGACGCTGATTCTGAGTGGTGGAGGTGGATTCCACATGGCTACTAAAAATATGGAAGCTGCGATCCATTCGTCACCGATCGAAGTACTTGACTTTGAAAGGTGCGCGGTCCCATTGACGACCATTGCACAAGCTGTATCTGCTTGCAAGTCACTGCGTGTCCTACGACATAGCGATTGTGACAATTGGGCGGCAGCTGATCATTTGCATTTACTCCAGCAGTTATATGAGCACGCGAGCACGCTGTCCACCCTCAAAACGTGCTGCTGGCACGCCCCCAAGAGCCCTTCAACTAAAGATATGGTACTGGCGGACTTCACTGCTCTAAAAGAGCTCGAGGTGCACTACTCTCATGTCGAAGATAACCTCTTACCGCCAAACCTTTGCCGGCTCGTCGTATGCGCAACTACTCGCGACAGAGAATGCATCATGAAAGACATGGAAACACTCACACAAAAACTCAGCAAACGATCAAACCTCGACGTAACACTGAAGTATCGGCACTACAGAAAGTTAAACTACAAGCTTCCAAAACTAAGCGAACTGCCATCCGTGTTCGCTAAGTCTGATCTCAATCTGTCGCTTTACGTGTATCCTGTTGTCGGCTCATCATGTAAGTTGCCCGCAGTAACGTTCCTTTAGAATGAGCTGACAGTCAGGATAGGGTACTTGATCGCCAAGTTCGATCACCGCGCTGCATGGTTGTCGCAGAGACCTAGCGAGACAGGCGCAAAGGAGTTGAGAGCTTGGTCGAAGCGATTAGATTCGACGTACGATTACCGGGAGATTGTGCTCGCGGAGATCAAAAATATGGTCGGAAAGCACGAGAACCTTTGGAAGAGCAACGACTACGATCTCGACTTCATGCTACCGTATCTGTTTAGAAATCTGTACAAGGTCTGAGGAGAGTAGTCAGTTGACACGAAGATGCGAACGGAAGGATGGATCTGTCACGAATGGGAAGGTGGATTGGAAGCGTAGTGAACGGTAGCTCTTTCTCCATACTGGACCTCGCTTTAAACACATCACCGGCGCTATCTCTACGGTCATCATCCTAGTTACCTTCAGCATCTACTACTCACCACTTATACCTCACCGCTCGTGAACATTTCAATACCGACTCATAAAACTCCCATCGTCTTGACCTACCAACCTTCCACCCCAATACCTAGATTTCCTACATCTCAACCACAGCGCCTCCTCATGACCTCTAACAACTCTGGCGACGGCGACGGCAACGCCTTCGACCCCACAGCTAACAGCGAGGTCTACAATGAACGCCACACCGACGAAAACGTCCACAAGACCGGTGAAAGGATGACTATGCTCGATATCTGCATGCTCGTTCCCTTAGCCCCCTTTGTGGCACTCGCGATCGCGCCCGATGTGGGAATTATTGTCGCAGGTGAGTAAATCACCGTAGAGCGCTTTGTATAACGGCCTCTTTGCTAACCAAGTACCCAGAATTATTTAAAGCAGCTGGGCGGTCAGTCAAAGGCCGGATACGGGCGCACCAGGATTCAAGGGCCAGAAAGTGGCTGGGTGAAGCTGTCACTTGAGTGAGCAGGAGAGAGAAAGTGAACAGGTCATAGTCTTTATTTGCTCTGTCCTACAATGCTGTGTTAGATTAGTCTTCCTCAATACAGCTATACATCTCTTTGGTGTAACGAGCTCTAAGACTAGACTAGAGATAAACGTGATTACCTTTGTACCTAGGCTGCTAGGAGTCGCTTAATTGTGCAAGTAAGTTCCATTCCACAATCATCGTAAGAGCCTTGTGCTATGTTCTCCATCCGGTTCACTTTCACCACTCACATCTCACATCTCACTGGCCGCAGCTTCTTCAAAAGCTACCAACAAATCATAGACCTTATCACCTCAGCGACCTCCCACTTGACAACTCAAAGCTTCGCATCGTACCTACAACAATCTGGAAAACGCGAAGATGAACTCCGGTTCTCTACATCTGGAAGCGTTCTGCCAGCTCCCTCTCGCTCTAGCACAACTCTATGGTGGTACAACTCAACCCCTCCCTTGGTTCAATGAAGTCGAGGACTAATAGTTTGAAGTACCAATTACTACGTCTTTGGTAGCCATCGAGGCGATGTGTGAACAAGTCGTTCGAGCGGCAAAGGGTCACTCCAACAAATACGAGGGACAGAAGTGGCATCACTGGCCGGGATACCCCGTTGACACTATCGTTTGCAACGTTGATGGGGAATGTGTGGAGATCAAGATACGGGAGTGAGGAGCTGATCTCACAGCCATTGTGGCATGGTGGCCAGTACCCTGTGTCAGTTGCGACAAGCAAACCTCTGAACCAATTGCCAGACTTGCACACAAGCACGAAGAGGAAGAATGTGTACAAAATTTCGATGGGAAAACGAGGCGATCGAGTTATATGTATACATATCATCTACACATTTGGTGTACTGCATGTGTGTTCCATCTTCTACACCCCCAACACACCCCTCAACCCCCTAACCTTCCCCCTCAAATCCCCATACCCCAACCAAACAATCCCCTCCGCCATCTTCCACGCCTTCTCTCCCGCCCCCTCTTTCCTGAGCGGAATATCCATAGGCGGCGGAATCGCCGTCTTAATCCCCGCCCAAGCCCACCGATCCCTCGTAATACTCTTCTGATTACACAAACTCCTCAATCCCTCTTTACCCGCAAAGCGCCCATAGCCACTACCCTTTGTACCGCCAAACGGCATTTGAACCATATAGTAGACCGCAAAGTCGTTGACGGCAACCATGCCGGCCTGTAGGGAGCGGACGACGAGTTCGAGGTCGCGGGTCGAGGTGCCGAAGACGGAGGAGCCGAGGGCGTAGGTGGTGCTGTTGGCGATTGTGATGGCGTCTGTGACGGATTCGGCGCGCATGAGGAGGAAGACGGGGGCGAAGAGTTCGGTTTGTGCGATCTTCATGGTTGGGGTTACGTCGGCGATGAAGGTGGGTGTGAAGTAGTGGCCTTGCGGGTGGTCGGGGTGGGTGTAGCGTTTTCCACCTGCTAGTAGGCGGGCGCCGTTGTTGACGGCATCTTGGATGAGCTCCTCGAGCTTCGTGTAACTCGCGTCGGAAATCGATGCGCCGATGTCGATGGGTGTGTCTGAGGTATTGTTGAGAATGGAGCCTGGGCGGAGTGCCTGGATCTTGGGTGTGAGGTACTCGATGAAGCGGTCGTAGACTTTGGGTAGGGCGATTACGCGCTCGATGCCGATGCAGTTCTGACCTGCAGACTGGAATGTGCCCCTCATGAGGATACTGGCAACGCGCTTGAAGTCGCTGTTGGATAGGTCATCCAGTACTATCGCCGGGTCTTTGCCGCCCAACTCCACGCACACTGGTGTCAATGCCTTCGCCGCCGATGCGCAGACATGGTGTGCTACTGGTCGCGATCCGATGAATGTTATGTGTGATATCGACGGGTGTGACGTAAGGTGATCGGCGACGTCAGGCCAGCAGACGACAGACTGGACGATATCCGGCGAATGACCGCAGGCTTCGAGGGCGCGGGTAGCAATCGAAGCGAAGTATGACGAAGACCAGGCAGTTGCTTCCGAGCCTTTGACTATGATGGCGTTGCCGGCGAAGATGGAGGCTATTACGGGGCTTATGAGATTGTGGAATGGGTAGCTGTGGTATTGTTAGCCGCAATGATCCATTCGAGTGACGTTTGACACTTACTTCCAGCTCACGCAAGCCGCAACGACGCCCAGCGGCTCATAAACAACCTCATTCCACTTGTACATCATGAGGAAGTTTGTATCCCTCTTCTCAGCCTTCAAACTCCTTTCGCCGTGTTTGATCGTCCACCTCAGCTTCTCCACCGTCACCAGGATCTCGCCCAGACTCGCGTCTACCATGGTTTTGCCAGAGTCCAGACATGCGACTCGCGCAATCTCCTCTTGGTTCTCTAGGATGAACTTGAGCATAGTGCGCAGCACCTTTCGCCGCCTGAGGAAGCTTGTCTGAGCCCATTGTACCTGGGCTGCCTTGGCTTTGGCGATTGCGCGGTCGATGCCGTCGGCTGTGGAGGGGTTGATGCGCCCGAGGGCTTCACCAGTCGCGGGAGCGTAGCATTGGATCAGGGAAGAGCCCGGTACCTGCTGAAGTCAGTTACCGAAACCGAAACCTGGGGAGTACATGTGTACCTTCAACTGCGGCTTCTCAAGCACCTGGCCCTTCCATCCTTTGCGTGCCTGCTCAGGTGTATCGACTTCATACTTGACAGGCTCCTCTGGATCAGCACGACAAGTGATCCAGATAAAGGAGAGCGCAGCTATCCAGAGCGCGCCATACAAGGAGACGTTGAAATCGTTGTCAGCGCGTGCGGTAATGCGGTCCATGTTGCCGATGACGGTCTGACCAGATGGCGCGTGGTCCAAGAAAGTCCGATCCTGGCCGCCTGGACCCTGAAACGCCATCCCAACGCGGATGCGCTAAGACGCGTGGTCATCTGAAACTACTGCAGGCGTCGAGGGCATACTTGACCGGACGAATCACTCAGTCACCACGATTCCAATCCCCATACGCATGCTCGGTCAGACATTCCCGAGCGAATTGCGTAGAGGTTCCTACTTACGCTGTCAGGTAATTTGAAAGAAGTGTTGATTGCAGTGGAAGACGTCCCGTAGCCACTCAACGCGCTTTTCTGTGAACTGCCATCCATAAGCCTATGTGACAGCTGCACAAGCCACGTCCTTGACTTCATCAGTTCCAAAGGCTCTTCTGTTGTGGTGACACCTGCAATAATAGGCAATTTGCGCTAACGTACGACATGATCAGCAGCAAGAGTAGGTGTTTGACTGATGGTATTGTTCGCCACAAGATTTGATCTCATATATCATACATCCTTCATAGCCACGATTCCCTGTCCGTGGGCCTTGGTGCTCTTCTGATCCTCCAACAATTTAACCCTTCGAACCCGCACTTACTTTGCGTTGTTCTTGGGCGCCTCGGTAGGTGGTCCGTCAGGCGTGGTGTAACACCTGGTCATGCCACCATCGATGACGAAATCGGTGCCGTTGACGAAGCTGCTCTCATCGCTGGCAAGGAAGAGGACACCCTGCGCCTGCTCGATGGCCTCACCAAAGCGACCGGTGGGGAAGTGGACTTCGCGACGGTGACGCTTAGCCTGGTCGTCACCAAGCCAGTCTTGCAGGAGTGGTGTGCTGTTACTGTCAGTATATCACAAGTAGCAAATGGTTGGGAGTGAACCTACTTCAACGGTGCTGGGCATAGCGCGTTGAATCTGAAGCCCTCACGTGCGTGAACCATAGCCAGCTCACGTGTCATGGCCAGTACAGCACCCTTGCTGGCGGTGTATGCGAGCTGGGGTGTTGCACTACCGACCAATGCGACAACGCTGGCGGTGTTGATGACACTGGTCTTCTTCTTGCCGTTCTTCCTGAAACTGTTGACTGCGTGCTTGCAGCCGAACCATACACCCTTGACGTTGATGGCTTGTGTCAGGTCCCAGATCTTCTCGGGTGTGTTGACAGCGTCATCGTCGTCTGAGTGCATAATGCCTGCGTTGTTGAACAGTACATCCAGACCACCCCATGAGTCCACGTGCTCAACCATAGCCTGTACATCGGCCTCCTTGGAAACATCGGTAATCTTCGTCTCGACCTTCTTGGCCTCCGGGACTATCTCTTTCAGCTTGGCCGAAGCCTTTTCCAAGGCTGGACCGGAAATATCAGAGAGGAGGACATTGGCGCCTTCCCGAGCAAAAAGGATGGCAGTCTCGAGACCGATACCGCTAGTGATTGTCAGTAGGCAGTTGCGGTATGCGGCGTGATTCTGTGTGTGCTGCCCCCCGCGTTGCAAAATGAACACATCGGCGTTGAAGCCGGTAACGAAACATGGTCAAAAGGGTAGATGACTGCAAAAGAAATGCTGGTAGGAAATGAGTCGTGGTACGTGCGGGATCGGTGCTTACCCAGCGCCTCCAGTGATGATGCAGTTCTTGCCTTCAAGACGACCCATGTTGAATGTTTGGTCTGATTATTGTGCTGGTAGAAGTGTAGTGAAGGTGCTGTAATGCGGTCAATGGATATGAAGGGTGAGGCAAAGTTTTGTGGAAGCTGTGAGATATGACTAATATTTTGCTAGAGGAAGCGTCATGAGAACAACACGCGGACCTGTGAATGGGGAAGGTTTGCCAAAGGCGCAAACAGTACCAGTCTCCACACTCACCTATGAATCGGACTTTGCAGTGCGGGCTGGCGTATGAGGAGCGTTGTCGGAATCGAGAGTGCGAGGAGATGGAGATGACGAACGGGTAGTCTCGGACAACTCATAAGTCATTCAAACATCAAGGGTCCCGAAATCGGCCCATTGCATTGATAGACTACGATAAGGGCGGGCTATCGCGTTGGCGGCTGTCATCTTTGGGCACACGACGAAGGAGCGGTGGGCGAAGGCACGATAGCAGCCTCGAATTAACAACTGTCCTACACGGCATGGATGCGCCAAACGCCGTTACGCGTCAGGGCTGATGAAGTATGGCCACTACCCCGCCATGATGGATGACGTGCGTGTTCGCCCGTCTCTTGTATGCCGGCGCATCATCACGTTGTCGCATAGGGATTCATGTTGTCGCATGGGAGGGTGTCGAGGTGTCGCGTAGGAGAGAGATAGCACACATACGCGTGACTATGCAAGATATAGCCTGTACGCGCATGCAAGGCCAGGCTATGATGTCGTTGGATGCATCGCAGCCCGCATCCCGATAACCCCTCATTGGCCCACCCCAGCTGTCCCGCCTATCGCATCCCAAACGCCTTGGGCCCTTAAGCTCTCTATCCGCGCAAACCTGATTGCGACGCGATATCTCTTACCAACGACACGACGCTCCTTTCACTCGTACGCTTCAACAGCTACATCTGTCCAGCCCCCTCCATCCTCACCATGGCCGCCGAATTCGATGCCTCCAAGCTGACGGCCGAGCAACTGCCCGAACTCCTCAAAAATGACCTTGCAGTCAAGGTCGCGGGCATTGATGTCGACGGCGTCCTGCGCGGAAAGCTCATGGCCAAGAAAAAGTTCCTCAGCATAGCCAACGAGGGCTTCGGTTTCTGCAGCGTCATCTTCGGATGGGACATGCACGACCAGACATACTTCAAGGAGCTGGCCATCTCCAACAAGGAGAACGGATACCGCGACTTGCTCGCCATACCCGACCTGACCTCCTTCAGGAGGATACCGTGGGAGGACAACGTGCCCTTCTTCCTTATCAGTTTCCACGACCCGGACACCAAGGGCACCCTCAGCGCATGCCCAAGAAGTCTGTTGAAGCGCGCCGTGGACAAGCTGAAGGAGAATGGATATGGCGCTATGGCTGGTGGTGAGTCCAACGCCAGTTGAAGAGCGGGTGCTGCGCGTCGTCAATGAAGCTGATGTGTTACTGTCTAGCCGAGTATGAGTTCTACCAATTCCGCGCGCCCCAGAGCCACGATGGCTCAGAGAGGAACACGTCGAGCACCGCCGCCTTCTTGCGCGACAACCCCGTCAACTCGCTCCCGAGTCTTACCGAAGGCATGTTCGGATACAGCATCACTCGGCCGGTTCACAACCAAGAGTACTACTACGGCATCTTCAACACATGCGCCCAGTTTGGCTGCGGAATCGAAGGATGGCATACAGAGTCCGGCCCGGGTGTCTTTGAAGCGGTGGGTGTATCAACTCGGGGGCTCGGGCAAAGCAGACTGACACAGCATAGGCTCTCGAATTCGGCGAGATCCAGCAAATGGCTGACAAAGCGTCGCTCTTCAAACTTGTCGTCAAGTCACTCGGATCCAAGTACGGCATAACACCGTGCTTCATGGCAAAGCCGCGCGAGGGTCTCCCAGGAAACAGCGGCCACATGCACGTCTCAATCGTGGACAAAGAAAACAAGAACCTCTTCTACCGAGGCGAAGAGGACAAGAATGCGCCATACTCAGACATCGCGTACCTTTCGGACCTTGGTCGGCATTTCCTCGCGGGTTTGATCGACGGTCTCCCCGACATCATGCCTATTCTCGCACCCAATGTCAACAGCTACAAACGGCTAGTAGAGAATTTCTGGGCACCTGTTACTGTATCATGGGGTCTTGAACATCGCGCCGCGTCCATCCGTCTTATTTCTCCTCCCACCTCTTCTGGTAAGGCAACACGCTTCGAAGTGCGTGTGCCAGGCGCAGACACAAACCCACACTTCGTCCTTGCTGCCATTCTAGCTCTTGGCTGGCGAGGTATCGAGAAGAAGATGGAGATTAGCATACCGCCTCTAGGCAAGGGCGAAGATGTTGGCGGAGAGGCGGATAAGGGCGAGCGCCTAGCCAAGAGCCTGAAGGAGGCCACAGAGCGGTTTATGAGGAAAGAAAGTGTCGCGAGAGAGGTATTTGGCGATCAGTTTGTGGACCACTTTGGCGGCACCAGGCAACATGAGATTAGGCTGTGGGATGAAGCCGTGACTGATTGGGAAGTCAGAAGGTATATCGAGACGGTATAAGTTCTTGTTCGTAAGAAAAGTAAGATTGAGGAAAGAGATGGAATATTTCACAACGTAACCTACTGTTGATTCTACGATACCACATTCCCATCCGCGATACGCGTTGTTCTGCCTCAATATACCTTTTCCAAGAGTCAAATACCAGTTCCAAGACTTCATTTCTAGTAGCACCGGAAGTATTGACGCCCAGAGGAATATATCCGGGAGAATTTCCCGGTGCGTCATTAGCGGCAACGAGAAGTGACACTACACATGCAACTACCTGATCCTACCAAGCACTCCAAGCTTCACTAGAACACACAAGGCTACTCTTCGGCGGGCACTGCGCCGAATACTTGAAGTCTGGGGTAGATCGCCGCTCACGATGCGGAGGTTTTTGATTGCGGGTGCAATTATCCGGCTCAGGCGTGCAGGAATCTGGGAAGGTATTTAAGTCGACTTCGTGATGAAGAAAGTGAAGCTCTTGTATGCGTACATGCTGTCTGTAGTCCAAGATGAAGGCAATCAGCTTCGTCGTAGCATGTCTCGCCGCGTATGCAAGTGCTGCAGTAATAACGCGTAGTGACACAGGTCTATCCTCAAGTACGCCAATCACATTTTCCTCCTCAACATCCATGCCATCTAACCATCTCAATCAGACGCACAAGATCTCTTCGACTGGTCCATGCACATCCAAGACAACCGCTACGATGCATCCTACAACTTTATCCAGTATTCTGACAAAGGACCATGGTCTGTCCGCTTCACAGCGTGGTATGTAGCCGGATTATTGCACAGAAACCAGGGAGACGATGTGAAGCACGCAGAAGCCTCTATCAGGAACATGTACGTATCATTCGAACATAGGAGAGTCGAAAGAAAAGAAGCTGTAGACTGACGATGAGAACAGACTGGCCTGCCAAATGACAGATGATTTCGACGCTCCATGGTACGGAACATACAAATTGTCCCCCGATGAACCAGATCCAACGCCTGATTCGGGACTATACGCACCAAAGATATACATACGTCCCCAAACATCTATCGTCACTCCCTCCAACCCCCATGCTAACACACACTCCCCAAAAGACGACCTACGACCCCAACTGGCGCGACTTCATCGGCACCCAACTAATCCAAATCCTCTCCGAATTCTCGTCCCTCCTCGCCCCCTCCCTCATAACCTCCATCGAAGATTCGCTCGAAGTCGCCGCCGTGGGCAGCATGCGCCGCAACGGCACCTACCCCACAATCGACGATAACCTGACAATCGGCTACACAAACCCAGCCATGATGCGCGCTCTCCTCTGCGAATACATCGGCACCCTTCGATCCAACTCAACCTTCACGTCTTTTGCGGAAGACCAAGGAAACAAGATATTACAATTATTCCAACGAGAAGGCGCAGAGACGATTAGCGAGTATAACGCGCCTACGTACTACGGTATCGATGTCTGGGCCATGGGTGCACAGATCAAGTACGGTGTTGGTAAATCCAGCATGACGAAAGCTGCGAAGTATATCCTGCCGCGGATGATGGGCGATTTGGCGGATCATTATAATGGGTATCTGGGAAATGTGGTGGGGCCGTATGATAGGGCGTATACGAGGGATATCACGCAGCATTCATCCGTTTTGTCTTTGGTACTGTGGGGTCTTTGGGGCAGGGAGCGGACGAGCCAGCCGAAGAAGATGGAGGGGGATTTACTGTTTGATGTCGCTCAAGGAGCGGCTATGGCGCTTGTCCTGGGGGGTGTGGAGGAGCTTTTGCCCGCGCATGTGGAAGAGGCGTTTACGACGAGGGACTTCATTGGTAAGCCAAAGTGGCTGAAACGAACGGTTTGGGATGAGCTGGAGGGAGGTGAACCGAGGATCGCGTCCAGTTGGGTGAGCAAAGAGTTGATGATTGGCGGGCAACAGGTGGATGAGGATGTGAACAGAGGGGATCAGTTTGTTCCTGCTATTGTGCGTTGGGCGGGTGATAAGGAGCATAAGCCTTATCCGCTTAACACCTTCTTCGCCCTCTACCCGTCTGCGTCGTGGATCCACGCTGTCGCTTCGCCGAATCATCTCTCCGTCAGCTACCCCAACCGGACGCAGGAGGGAAGCGATATCTTTACGTTTGCGCTGTCGAATGTGCCGCCGAGTTGGACGCTGGGAACCGGAAGACGGATTACGGGATTTGAGGATCTGCCGTGTGTGGAGATTGAGGTTGAGGCAGAGGGCTTGGTGAAGCAGAATGTGACGTATGGTACGGCGCTGAGGAACCATCTGTTCTACAACATTTCGTATGTGGTTCCGCAGGACTTTGAAGGCGTGCCGAGGGTGGAGTTGGATATCAAGTATACGTGCTAGCTAGCTTCTAGTAGCGATAGGCTATCGTATCTGTCGGAGCCGGTGATTCCTCACACAATGATACTTTTCTATCAGCCTGGCGCTCGTATCGATACTCCAGACATAGTTCCCAAAGACGGTATCATGGGTACTTTGGGCCTTGGACGATAGGCCTGGTTTCCTAGTACGCTCGGTATTCAGGCTTCTGTCGTTCTCTAGCAGGTGCTCGCTTTCGTAGCTGTGGTATCGCGATTCGTCCGTAATCTCATCGTGGTATGATGGCGTTGTAGGCTACCAATCAAACTTCTTCCATCGCATCCTGCCCATGCTGCCCAAAGAGTTCTTCGACCAACCCAACGAACTCGGCCATGGCGTCTTTCTCTCCCTCTTTCCCCTCTCCTTCTCTTATACCTTTCAACTCCTCCATCGCGTCCTTGTCTCCCTTCTTCTGGGTCCAATACTCTTCCTTCTTTTCCTGCCCTCCATTAAAACCTCCACGTCCACCTCTCCAGGCACCTCGGCCCCTTCCTCTCATGCCTCTTCCTCGTGAGGCGTTTCGTTCGAGCATGCGCCGCCGGCTCTCAGCTTCGGGGTCTGGCTTTATCGTCTTGGCGTATACGCGTTGGAGTGACGGGAGTAGTGTTGGGTGTGTTTTGAGTAACTCTTGAAATTTCGGATTCGTTGCTAAGACAGAGAAGTCGGTGCGCTTCTTTAGGTAGCGCGGTACTGGGGCGGGAGGAGGTGGTTGTGGGAGGGCTGGCTCTGCTGGCTTTGGCGTGTCTGATGTGGTTTCGGGATGTGTTGTTTTGTGCGATTTGAAGCATGATAATGAACAGCTGTACGCGGTCAGTGTTGTAGATCCAAGAAATCGCAAATGGCAACGCACTATGGAAGAGCGCAAGTCGGGCACTTGTATTTCTTGGGCTCTGCGTTGCAGAGGCCGCAGAGGACTTCTGACATTGTGCTGTTTGTTGGCGGGGTCGCAACTTTAAATCTAAGAAGGGAAGGACGAATGTGTGTCGTGAGAATGGTGGTGCTGGAAGTATCGAAGATGACGTCCGCAATCACTCGCGACTTTTGCGCTCCAAGACGCGTTCCCAATCGGGCTAAATCCCGCGGCGAACTTCCATTGCTCATCACTCCGCCGAGGTTTCCTCCATTGGCTCGTTGACTCTTACAACACAACATACAATATGTCTGCCGCATCGCCATTACGACAACTTCCCTCACGGTCGCTGGGATCCTGGACCTGCCTATCGTGCTCTCGCTCGCTCAGTAGGATACCGCGCGCCCGCAATCCCGCCTTGACCGCACGAAGATGGATGAACAGCACAAATCCTGTGCGGCAGCATGGCACCGTGCCAAGAATGGACCAGATGCATGCGCAATATAAGATGAAGAACCGCACAGTCATGTATGTGCAAGATTCTGTTGGCAGAAAGCGCAATTGCTGACCATAGTATAGGAACTATGTCTTCAGTGTGATAATAGGCTTCACAGCGCTCAGTTATGGCTCAGTACCGTTTTACAAGATGGTATGGTCATAGATCATCACCTTGTCGACAAGAACCCAATCTCACAAATTCTATAGATCTGCCAGGAGACCGGTTGGGGAGGCCAGCCCATAAAGTCAGCGGCCCACGGCGGCGATACTTCCGTCGATCCCTCCGAGCGCCTAAAGCCCGTTGAACACCACCCACGTATCCGAATCACATTCAACGGCTCCGTATCCGACGTTCTACCGTGGAAGTTCGTTCCTCAACAGCGCGAAGTCCGAGTCCTCCCCGGCGAGACCGCTCTCGCTTTCTACACCGCGACCAACAAATCGTCAGAAGATATCATTGGCGTAGCTACATATTCTGTCACACCAGGACAGGTCGCCCCATACTTCAGCAAGATCCAATGTTTTTGCTTCGAAGAGCAGAGACTAAATGCTGGGGAAACGGTGGACATGCCCGTCTTCTTCTACATCGATCCCGAATTCACAAAGGATATTAACATGAAGGGTATTGAGACCGTCACACTGAGCTACACGTTTTTCAAGGCGAAGTACGACAAAGACGGACATTTGACGCCTGTTCCTATGTGAGGAGGGATTGGGGTATGTACGATATGTGTACACAATACGTGCGGGAAAAGAACCCACAATGTAAGGCTGATGTAGGAATGCTATTCACCGAGCACCACAACCCTCCACCTAAGTCATTTTCAAGCCAGTTTGGGTTCGATTACAATGAAAACTTGTGCCGTTCACTACACTACCGTTGTGAAGTAGCATCGATCTATACAGTGCGCCACCAACTTCATAAGTATCTGGCCAATTTGGACGGTCAATCAATTTTACACAGAGCAGGCCTCTCCACCCTCAACTTCAGACTGCACAGTAAACCCTTCTCCGGGAGCTACTCGCTTACATATCCCTCATGGATAGACATGCAGAAGAGAAAGAGCTTCGGGAAAGCTATTACATCCACTGCCGCAACAGGGGCTACACCATCGACGAAGCCTCTGAGCGCAGCCTCAAATACGTCGAGCGTGTTCTCAACGCAGATTCAACCATCTCGAAAAGATACCTAGAAGAGCTGTATCAAGCGAGTGTAGCGCACCATAGGTATTCATCGTCTCCACTCTCGTATAATGATGACCCGCCGATGCATAGCTCACGGAGAGCCAGAGATGGCGGTGGATACGATGCTTTTAGTGGGTTCTCCGGTATGATGTGGACTCTTTTAGACGACAATGACAGCATATTTGCAGACATGCGAACGCAAGCTGAAGAAGATTGGAGCATACCAAGTGTACCAGAATATCGCGCTCCTCAGCACATCCCCTCCCATTACAACTACCAGGGCAATGTTCAGGAGCCGCAATGGCAACACGCGGGGGATCGGATTCCGCCGAGCTATCGCCGTCCGGATTACATCCCTTCTGCTTACGACTATCAGAACCATGCTCAGCAATCGCGAGAGAACTCTGATAGGTATACTGCTAGAGATTCTGGCCCCCAACGTTCATTTTCTTATGGCCCTCGTAATAATTCATACAGCTGGTTTCCCAGTAATGGAGACCGGAGGCCACCTTCAGGCTATCGGCGTTGGACTGCAGAGTCGAGTCACCCCTCGTACTCTTCATCACCACCCAGCTACACATTCTACTCGTCGTCCGATTCGTACCCGACCAACACTTCCTACTCTTTCCGCCCCAGTGCTCCACCTAGAACCTCTTATGTACCACGACAGCCACCATCATCATCTCAACGCCCAGTCACGCCACCTCCGCAAGGCATCAAACCCGCAATAGATCTTTATATCGTACTTGGTCTTAGCCGAAGCGCCACAGCTGCTGATATCAAGAAAGCACACCGCGCTATGAGCCTGAACTGGCATCCTGATCGCTGCCGTGGACCTGATAAGAAGAAAGCTACTGAGAAGATGGCAGAGATTAATCAGGCGAACGATGTGTTGTGTGATGAGGTTAAGAGGAAGTTTTATGATAGATGGGGAGTATTGCCTAGTGAGGTGTAGAAGAACCAAGATGGGATCTTATAAATTACAATGTTTGTGATCGAAGAAAGTGATCAGTTGCTTTCCTATTAGGGAGCTCTGACGTTTGAGCCTCGTATCGCTTCAGCGTTTCTAGCCTGCAGCTTGAAGCCGGACCCGCCTACAAATTCTCAAGGTATGAATCGACCAAAGGACAAGATTCACTCACCGCCGGCCGTACCTTTACCATCGCCTTCATCGCATCTACCAAGACATCCCTCGGGTATTCTTCAATGTACTGTGCCCAACCGATGCTGTCTTTCGAGTTGAGATGCGCTTTGTGTGCGATACTCTCAGCAATAAAGCGCCGAAGTGGAGATGCCGGAGGAGTGCCTTCGTAGGCGATGGTAACACTCTCAGGACCCATATTCCAGCCAGAAGCAGCTCGGGCCGCTACCACAGTCTCCATCACCGCGTTCTTGTACTTTATATCGACGATCATCTCCCCAAATACGTATGCTTCTGCAAGCTGAACGAAGACCTTCTCCGCTTCTGCGGCGTTCTCCTCAATCGTGCCTCCTCCCGATGTGTAAAGCTCGATTGACATCCTGTCACTGTAAAGCCACTTGATGTAATCGACGACTGTTTTCGCAGAGTCTTTTGGAAGATTGACGACTCCCTCTCTCTGCATGGTCCATTCTGGCTTGACAGCATTCTGGAAAAACACCGAGCTCTTGCAGAGAACACCGCGGTGGACGTGGAAACGTAGTGTTTCCCCAGTACAGCTCGAGGCAACCAACGGGATGATTTCGTCGGCCGGACTATATCAATTAGTGACGACGAACAAAGGGTCGGGCTGCAGGAAATAGTTACTCCATGTTGGCCGTTGGGTGAAGTCGAGGATTCGCGACAAACGATGCGCACTGTGTCGTAGTTGAGGAGGATGCCGCTATAAGAAAGCAAGAGAGCAGAAGGTAAATTTGGAAAGATGGTCCTGACAGTGAGAGGTGCTTTATGTGGGGTACGCTGTGGGCTGCGGAGTTCGGTGGTGACTCGCTGTTCCACTTTGTGTTCTCGAAGCATTAGTGAGTGAAGTGAATAGTGAAAAAGTGTATAAATGAGTTACTTTGAAACCCTTACATTGTGTAAGCGATTGCCAAGTCTTTGATAATTGTGATCTCTCAAATTTCAGCATAATATAAGTTAGCGCTGCAGGTGGCACACAACTGCTTCCCCCAGCTCGCATCGATCGATGTCGCCATCGCTCTACTCATATTTCGAAATCGCAAACTTCGGCTGTCGCCACCGCCGGGTAAGTACACGCTTTCGAGTGATGTCAACTTCTTTATTATGATCAAAGAACTAACAACCTCAAGATATCACTAGCCTCTTCGAACAAGAGCCGCCAGCATGGGCAGAGAAGCCAGTTGAAGTCCATCGATACTGGACTGCTACCGAAGCAGCCAAACATCGCGAAGTAGCTCCCAACGGACAGAATGACATCTATCTTCAACTAGATCCAGAAGTCGCACTCCGACGCCGCATCTTTTCTCCTTAAAGACAGTGTTCGGTTTCCGGACCAACTTCCAACAGCAAAGAGTCCATCTCGTCGGCCACGCTAGCGTATGGGCGTTCATGACGGCTTTTGCTTCCACTATGCGATGATGGTTGAGGTACGCTCGGGGTGATCTTGTTTTCGGACATGTAGTTGGAAAGCCAGGTATGTTGAACCATGATTGGGCGTTGGTCTGGAGTTTTGCGCTCTCTCTTGGTGTGCTTAGGCCCAGCGGGTCGAACACTCGGCGCGTCTGGGGTGGATTTGGTTGGCAAGACTTGAGGACGCGTACGGGACGATGCGCTCGGCTTGCGATCTTTAGGATGACGTACGGCACTCCGCGCACTACTCATGCCGTGTGCACTGCCTGGTCTCGGATTCAGTATCTGTACTGAGGCGAGAGTAGCTGCATCACGAGCAGCCTTTTCCTTGCGGCATTTTTGTACAAACTTGTGGTTTTCCTTGATAGCCTTGATCTTTGCTTTCTCCCATCCCTCTTTTACTCTGCTATGACGGCTGCTAGTCAGGAATAAGTAGCCTTGATTCTGAGAAAGTCTAAATATAGTCTTGCCAATAACTCCGCCGTAGTCAGCGATATGTATAAAAACTAAGGAAACAGGCAGCTTACTGCGGCGACGCTCGCTGTCAACAACATGCCCATCTGTTGAGAGAGGAGCTCGAGCTTTTCCATGACATTTCATCGCCTCTTTATCAGTAGTAGCATTGCTTGAATTCAAGACTCGGCTTTCTGGTTTGGGTATCGATGTCCGCTTCGACCCAATGCTCTCCTGCTTTGTGCCAGGGTATCTCTCGACATCTTCTTCATCCCAAAGACAACCACGGAGTGTCTCAGGGTACCGTTCTTCGGATGAGGTTCGTTTGTGTGCCTCTTTTCGCAAACGATCATGTTTTTTGAGCTGCTCACGAAACCGGTCGCGTTCTGGATCATCTAGCAGCGCATCGTCAACAAGAGACCTTCTCGATGACCCTGTTCGAGGCTCAAAAGGTTGGCGCCGTCTCGGTGTCTCCGCATGCGTGGACCCCGGATTACGGTATTCTTCCCATTCTCGTAGATGGGCCTCATATGCTTTGTGGTTCATGGCCCTTAGATTGTGAACATAGTTATGAGAGTGGAGATGTTCAGTAGAGGTTCTCCAAATCCAAGGAATTTTATACCACGTACAAATGAGTCCTCAATAGTGGTCGAGTCACTGGTCCGAGTAGGAAACTCATGGTCGTTGACGGCGCCTGTGAGAGACGTGGACAGAGGCTGCATCAAATATGTGCACATGTTGAGTCTTCGTTTGACGCATGTTGGTTTATGACTGTAGACGAATCGCATCACTCTGATCATGTGCTTGTCATCAGACAGTGAGGAAAGGACCAACCGCTGAGACTACATGAAACGAGACAGAGACCCTTTCGAGGTGCCTGGCGATGCGAAAAGCTTAGCGTGTGCAAATCGCATGTCTACAGGTGGTCGGCAATTCGGTGAAGCGCTCCGGTGGGAGGCTGGCAACCGGCGTTGACCCATGAGCGAAATTCCAGTGGCACATCAAACATGCTGCAATTCATTTTTAGGACAAATTTTCAGAACAATGCTTGCCCACTGAGATATATTCTATAGCTCTATCTAGTGCTGCTGCCTTGCCCCCAAAAGAGCTCCTACACTAGTTCAAGCAAGATCAGGACATAAGCCCGGTCTCATCATAAAAGGCCCTCTTATCTGCATCAAGCAGTACATCCTTCGTAGCATTAAGGTACGCTGCCTCTCTCTTGTTCTTCTCTTTGACCTCATCACCGTCCGGCAAAGAGTTCCATTTGTCTGGATGACATCTCATGATCATCTTTTGATAGGCCTTCTTGATAGCCGCTGTATCAGCCAACCGTGCGATGCGTAGAACATCGTAGAGATCTTCCGGCGGCTTTTGACCGGGGGCCATACCTTCGTCTGGGGATTCGCTCGATATGCTCGGCGGTCTGGACTGCTGAGGTCCTGGAGATGGGGCTCTAGTGAATTCCTCGTCTGAGGATTGCTCCGACACAGTCTCGCTGACCGTTGGCCCACCACTGTCCTTCGTAGACTTTGTTGGAGTATGAGAACGGTCGCTTGGCTTATGATCACCAGCGAACGCAAAAGGAGAATCCGCTTGATGAGTTCCTTCAGTTTGTGAGGGTTTACGTGGTCTGCGACTTGAGCCAACGAATGAAGGTTTCTTATAATCGATTCGTATGTCGGAGTCCTTTGAAATGTAGTACGCGTCCTGCTCTTTGCTCGTATCATGTAAGGCGCTGGATTGGTATTTGGCGGCTCCTCGTACTGGTGACCGGCCGCGGCCTGAGACGTCTTTACCGTGACTTTTGCGAGACTGTGTATGCCGACTTGATCCCCCGGTATGTAGGGGGTGCGCCAGTGGTGGATCATGGACCTGGTGTGCCGATCGATCATGGATCGGTGTGCGCGCACCGACATTCTGTCGAGCATCTGCGTGCAGACTCTCACCACCATGATAAATGACCTTTTGTCTAACTTGGGAAGGCTTTTGACTTGAGTGTTCCTGATTAGTCCTATCGTTGGATCGGTGCTTTGAAGTGCTAGTGGGAGCTGCGTTCGAGGATGCTGAACATCTGACATGATCTTTACTCAAATTAGTGAAGCTGAACACGATTCGTCTTGTGCAGTTACAAACCTTGAATGTCTTCATCAGCAGTGGCAGCGGCATAGTGGAAGGTCGAAGAATGTGAGGATGTGCTACGAGTAGGAGTGCGGACATCTACAAAGGCCTCCTTCTTTTGCTTCCGTTGTTTCTCCACTTCTTCTTGGTAAAGACTACCTCTCGGAATCGGACGAACCGAAGGTTCGATACTATTTGTAGAAGGAGACGAGGACGAGGCTGGATGGAGTTGTTTCTTGATACTGTTTTGAGCGTGTTGCAAGGCCGTCTCGTGAGTGTCTCCACGATCCCAATAATAGCTATAGATCTCCGTAGCGTGATGTGCATATCGCGAAGCTTTTTTTGGAGAACAATCTTCGTAACGTAACTCGTTGTAAAAGTAGCTAGTTAGATTTGTCTTGAATTCCTGGTCGCTCATGGTCTATAGCCGATAGATTATGTCGGTGTATTCGTGCGACTCTATGAGAATGTAGTTCAAGTGACCGACTGGAATGTAGAATTTATAAGAAACGCTGAATGATTCGAGTGTCGAACCCTGTGAGTGTTTTGTCTGTCATATTGAAGAAGTCACACTGCGTCAGTGAATGCAAGATACTACGCAGTCAGTAGCTTTGAGACTCAAAGCCTCCCATGTACATACTGACTTGAACAGCACTGTCATATCGTGCTGCACTCGTCGTTGGAATTTCTGTAGTGTTGGACCTGAATGGCGCGACGGATATGAAGGCATGTTGGCCTGTTCTATCAGCTATTGAAGTCGTCCAAAAGACAGGTGAGTACTTGGGTATGCACAAGATTACGACTGAAAGGTGCTCTTGTGGCGGGATAGAGAGAGCTTGTCGGGAAGGGGTTGTCATACTATAACACATTACGATTGCTTGTATGACGCATACCAGTGTATGACAATGCGCCGACAGTATGACTCCGATGTTCTACTTCTCATCAGATATCGGCTGAGAAGGCTGAATCGGATAGAAGAAGAGACCCTGCGAAGATGCGTGCAAATCCTGGCCCATGAGATTGCGGCGTTTTCAGGCGCATGAAATGCCTGATCCTTTGCGCCACCGCCAGATGCCCTCACCTTTGGGGCCAACAACAATCGCATTGAGCTTGGACTCCAGAGTTTAAATCGATCGCAGCGGTGACGAAAGCCCGACTTGAAATGCCACGTATTTTGCGCTTGAAAATTCACCCAAATTGGAGGGCGCAGCGCATCTTAGATCCGCGGAGCAACTCACCATGGACCGTGTAATCAGTAGATCCTTGGACGCAACCATTTTGGGTGAAGACTTAATGCTTGTGGTGTTCGAATGTCATCGTGCGTCGAGACTTGTGGAAGTAGTGGTTCAAGACATGCGCAAAGGGCAGCCCCTTGCTGCAGCCCTTTGTCTTTGCATACGCCCCTGCCCTCAGTTTCGGCCGAGATTTCTGAGTGCAGATTGGTCCAGAGTCGATTGCGCTGCAGGAAGAGAAACATTGCCGAGCTGCCACGATTGTAAATTTAGCAGCCGGCAGTCGCTTCTGATGCATATCTAGCGGGTTGTCGCCCACGATGATGTTTACCAGGGCCCTCAACAAGTTTCAAACACCTCAAGAGAACTCCAAATCCAGTTTATCCGCTCGCGACGAGTAAAGACACCGTCAAAAC